TAAAAGCTGTAATCATTCAGAGTTTGTGACACAAATTCAGCATTTGGAAATTGGATAGAAATGAAATGACATACGTAGGGTTGACTTATTTATACCATGTGTAATGTTTTAATAGTTGATACATTAATAATATTTGGTAAGGGGATGACAGATTATTTAAATGTACCGGTACATTGTAAATTACTTGATAATCTAATTTATTTTTCAGAGCAGTCTTTAAAATATTAATTGGGGTGCAATTAATTTAATAACTTCTTGATCAGCATTGTACGTGTTATTAAATTTACGGAAAGTAAATAAAAGAAACGTCTTATAACACTTAAAACATATATTTACGCTTATACTGTTACACACAAGACGGTAAATATACAAAAAAGATGGTAAGTGGTGATCGATTTCGATTGGACACTCCAATCATCATCAGACCCAATAGGCGAAATCGATCACCACTTACCATCTTTTTTGTATATTTACCGTCTTGTGAGTAACAGTATAAGCGTAAATACAGGGTGCGGCGCGGGAACTTACTTATTTGAATTACGCGCCGCGTGGCGGCCATTAGTCCTAGGAAGGCGGCCATGCACAATCTGGTGGGCGGGCTATGAAGTTTTTAGTCCACTCAGTTCAGTTGCAACCATGCAGTGGTCGAGAGAGGAGCGCGCGTTCGCAGTCTCTGTGTACTTTTCTAGTGGCCGGTCTATCGTTGCAACCCAGCGTGCGTTTAGGAGGCAGTTTAATGTCGCGCCCACTGGTCGTGTTCCTGGTCGAACATCAATCGTTCAGTGGGTGAATACTTTTATGAATATAGGCAGTGTGTGGAAACAAAAACCAGGTCCTTCCAAAACCACTAGAACGCCAGAAAATGTCGAGAGAGTAAGGCAGGCGGTTTTGCAATCACCTAAGCGATCCGCACGAAAACATGCATCTGCGCTTAGAATTTCAGATCGCACAGTTAGGCGAATTCTGCACCAAGACTTAAAAAATTCCACCCTTACTAACTGGCAGTGGTGCAAAAACTAAATCCACGTGATTTTGTTTCACGACAAAGGGCATGTGAAGCCATCGTTGAAAACTTGCCTAACAACGCACTTGTGTTTTTTAGTGATGAAGCATATTTTCATCTGTCAGGGTGTGTGAATAAGCAAAACATGCGATATTGGAGTGGTGTGAACCCCCGAGAACTTCATGAGAAGCCCCTTCATGCAGAACGAGTGACTGTTTGGTGTGCCTTATCCAGGACTGGCATCATAGGCCCATGGTTTTTTGAAGAGAACGATAGGGCAGTTACAGTCACTTTTGAACGGTACATTCAGATGATTCAAGAGTTTTTCCTTCCAAAACTTGATGAACTTGGTGTAAGAAATGTGTGGTTTCAACAAGATGGGGCCACGGCTCACACAGCACGCGCTTCAATGGCTCTCTTGCGCGAACACTTTCCACATCGCCTGATCTCCTTAAGGGGCGATCTCCAGTGGCCAGCGCGCTCGCCGGACTTAGCCCCCTGCGATTATTTTTTGTGGGGATACTTGGTGTACACCAATTGTCCGAGGACCCTAGCAGAACTGAAGAACAACATTCGCGTTGCTATTGCTGACATTGGTCCAGACATGCTTGAGAAGGTGGAGCGAAACTTCCGATCTCGTCTGACAAAATGTATTGAACAGCATGGAGGTCACCTACATGATGTAATATTCAAGAATTAAACTTGTAAGTAAACCCAACGAAACTTTAAATGTAGCTCTTTGTAAAACAGAAAGAATTAAAACGCTATCTTTAATACTTTTTACTTTGTGATTATTTTAAAAGAGTACGCTATCTTTAATACTTTTTACTTTGTGATTATTTTAAAAGAGTACGCTATCTTTAATACTTTTTACTTTGTGATTATTTTAAAAGAGTAAGTTCCCACGCCTCAATAAGTTAGTAAGTGATAAGTCAGTAAGTTCCACGCTGCTGTGTGAGGGTGGAACAGTCACTCGTTCTGCATGAAGGGGCTTCTCATGAAGTTCTCGGGGGTTCACACCACTCCAATATCGCATGTTTTGCTTATTCACACACCCTGACAGATGAAAATATGCTTCATCACTAAAAAACACAAACGCGTTGTTAGGCAAGTTTTCAACGATGGCTTCACATGCCCTTTGTCGTGAAACAAAATCACGTGGATTTAGTTTTTGCACCACTGCCAGTTTGTAAGGGTGGAATTTTTTAAGTCTTGGTGCAGAATTCGCCTAACTGTGCGATCTGAAATTCCTGTATATGTTTTAAGTGTTATAAGACGTTTCTTTTATTTACTTTCTGCAATTAATTTTAATGAACTAACAGCTGGGTGGATATAAAAATATTCTATAGAACTATGAGGTTATTTTATTTTGTCATTGATTATAGGAAATAAGTAAGATTAGTAGAGATAAGTAGACAATAGAGATAAGTAAGACCATTGCCTACAAATCGAGAGAAAAGCCTATGCAAATTATTTCACGGGTTTTATTCAGAGATAAACAGATGGATGACATAGATTAAACACGATTTTATCATTGATCTATGATACTTGCAGACTTACTACCCTTTTTAAAATCTAAAACATTGTTTGGCGTATGTTCATCATTTGTGGTTACATTTGGGTGCGCTGATGTCACAGGCAAAATATCCCTTTTATTTTTCAACTAAATATCTTATTGTTTGAATAAATGAATATGGGAAATTAGGATGTACATAGATTCAATGAGAGTGGGTATTATCACAGATATTAAAACGGTATGGATAATAAACATAGAAAAATTACGTCACTAGCTTACTAGCATGTTTACTATTTTCAAATCCCTGCCACATATGACAAGTTCTTTTTTCAAATGTATATTATTTTAACTAAACATCTGTTTCAAAACAAACTATCTGTTATTGTTTTTACTTTTATTTGTTTAATAATTTATCGAATGGGCATACGGGAGGGACGATGGCTAAAGGTGTGGTGACGTTATATCTATAGTGGCTAATGTCTTCTCTTGAGGCAACACGATTACCGTAACGAGACGATGTGATTCCAGCGGCGGTCGTGGCATAGTTGGTAGCGTTTCGGAGGGTCGCCGGAATTGTACCCCCCGGCAATCGTTGACGTCATTTTGACGTCACGCCTAGGGGGGGTACAATTCCACCCCGTACACTTTGATTTTAACAAAATCTAATCTATTTAATGTGGGCAAGTGACCATTGATCCGGATGATTATATTAGATATTAAAAAGAGCAGGAGATGTACGGCCCGGAATGGTACCCCCCTGGAATTGTACCCCCTGCCAACATCAAAATGTTTACGTACGGGGTGGAATTGTACCTCTCCATCAGAAAGCCAAATGTGTACGGGCTGGAATTGTACCCCCCACCCACTCGATAAACTTAATTGGTATTATGAAAATGAAGTAGTTAAGAATGCCTTCTACAGTGACATATGTTGGATTTTCAAACCTGTACAGAAAATAGTGATTGTACTAAGAAACTATAATTGTGAAGAGATTATCCAAAAATCTGGCTTCGCCACTTTACTTCGCCTCGGGCCATATGCATATTTTATTAATTTTCTTTAAACCATTAACAACCTGATTACATTATTGCTTAGTTTGTGATCGCAGGATATACCTGTTGCCGTCCTTAGTGACTTACTAAAAGGCCAAGCAATATGGAATAAACGTTTACGAAATTAACGCTGAGTTTGATTCCCTCATGGACAAAGCTTCTAAATAATTTGATCACAATGATTTTTTTTAACGCAAGCTGATTGATTTTTTTTTTATCGATACAAGCAGTGTAAATCCTAAAAAACTTAGTTTTCAAGAGGAGTCGCAAGCAGCGAATTTCAGCTTAGTTATATCATAGACTAACCAACACAAGTAGTTAGACTTCTCATCCCATTGTAAATTTTGAAGCTCGTTTTTCATGTCTAGTTCATGTACGCCACACTGGGCGCTAGTGTCGACGAAATTTTGTTTCTATTATTTTAGGGTAATTTCTTGGTTTGTGTGCTTTACTGTTTGGTTAAATAACTAGGGGACAATTTATTGTTTATGATTGGATCGTATTATTTGATTAAACGAGGTTTGAGTATGTTTTATCTATCTATGGTTATATAAATTTGTAATACTTACCTTTTGATTACTGCACATAGGCCTAATAACTAAGCTAAACTAGTTTGTATACAATATGCTATAAGAATGGAATGGTTATTTGTTCACGTCACTCTTCTCAACGTAATTTAATATGACCATGAAAAGAAGTTAATGTATTTCATTTTTGTTCATTCAAACATAATATGCATTATTGTTTATTCGGTAACAAATTATGAACAGCTATTACTGGCAAAGGTGGACAAAATACCTGTTGTAAAATTTAGTTTGTAGGTATCTGGTATAAAGTATTTCACAGTTTGTCAAAGTTTTAACCTTTGTGAATTTAAGCTAACCCATGAACAGTTAGTACTTGGGAAGGTTAAGCAAATATTAATGAATAACGTATAAAGAAGTCTGTTAGGCCTCTCGCACATTACTCGGAATGGCCTTAATTTGCAGTTTCTTAGAATATCCTTTCACAACAAGCAATTCATTAGATGTCGGGTAACTTGGTTCAGTTCACTTTTGTGTGATTCCCCTCTAATATCCAACATAACTATTGTTTTGATTTTACTTGGTAATCACAATAGACAAGCTCCTGGGTGAAATGGAGGGGAGGGGGTACAATTCCGGGCCGTACATCTTCTTCTGCGGTCACCAGGGGGTAAAATTCCAGGGGGGTACGATTCTGGTCCTATAAGAAGGGCTAGACTGACGGGGGGTACAATTCCAGGGGGGTACAATTCCACCCCGTACACTGGCCAAATAAAAGTGAGTTCTAACTGAGGGGTACAATTCCGGTCCGTACAGTTTTTTAGATGCCAGTGGATTTAATCAAACCACTCGTGCATAACAGTGAGCGCGTTCTGGGAACATGTACCGGTGCACCGGTGCAAAAAATGTGTCGTTCTGGGAGACCGGTGAGTTAACCTAGCAGACAGCTATTTCCTCTTTTTCCTCCACCGGTGCAAGATTTATGCACCGGAGAAATTGTACGGTGCATAATACACCGGCGGCCTCTGATTGGTCAGTTTCTTTGACAACAGCTTGCAGCTACGGCAAGATGGCAGGTCCACCAAATAATGCTCATTAGTTTTATAGGTTATGTTGCGTAATGAGTGAAAATTTGTTCAATGAGGGGGTTATATTACGTAATAAATAATAATAAATAATTTTCAAATAATTTATTACGTGAGGGTAAGTCTGTTTGTTTGATTTAAATATTATAAAGCAAATAGTAGGTGAATGTGTAAATTATAATCCGATGTGTAGCGTAAACCGGTGACTAACCGTTCTGGGATACCAAGACTCTTGCCCCGGGGCGGCACCGGTGAGTAAGTCACCGGTTAATCTGCACCAGTACATGTTCCCAGAACGCGCCCAATTTCAAAGTTTTATGAGGGGGGTACAATATCTGTACACAACCTAAAACTAAATAAAGACAAATGTAAGTTTTTTCAAACACAAATCGATTACCTTGGACATACTATAGACCAAAATGGTCTACACAAGAACAAGGACAAAGTGGAAGCAATCTTAAAATCACCAAAACCGTCAAATGTATCAGAGCTACGAACATTCCTGGGCTTGACTAATTACTACCAGAAATTTATCCCCAACTTGAACACAATCTTGAATCCACTACACAATCTATTAAAGGCACACACTTAGTTCGTTTGGACCAGAGAATGTGATAAATGCGTTGAAAAAGTTAAGGCTGAGATAGCTAGTGACCGGGTCCTTGCTCATTTTGATGAAAATGAAACCTTAGTGCTAGCCACGGACGCTTCTCCAGTCGGATTAGGAATTGTTCTTTCTCACCGCTACAAAGATGGTACTGAACGGCCAATTTCATTCGCTTCTCGATCTCTCACTGCAAGTGAGAAAAAGTACAGTCAGATAGACAAAGAGGCACTGGCGATTTACTGGGGATTGAAGAAGTTCTACCAGTATTGTTATGGCAGAAAGTTTATCCTTGTAACAGATCATAAGCCACTTGTTTCAATCTTTGACCCATACAGAACCTTACCTACTATGACTGCCACACGTATTTTCAATTACGCTCACTTCCTCTCTGGCTTTGATTATACTATTGAATATAGGAACACCAAATCACATGGTAATGCAGACTACATGTCTCGCTTTCCTAATGAGCATCCACCGACAAATCAAATCGATCAACATGAAGCCTTTTTCATTAATCAAATTGAATCAATGCCTGTAACACATGAAAATATTGCAAATGAAACATCAAACGACAATGACCTAAAACCCCTTTTGAAAGCACTTCAAGATGGCACGGATTTAGAACATATTGGCTTGAAGAATAATGAGTATTCACTTCATGATGGCTAAATTTTTCGTGGTTCCAGAGTAGTAATTCCTGAAAAACTACAAGGAAAAGTACTCAACGAACTTCATTTAGGACACTTAGGAGTTGTGAAAAATCTTGCAAGAAGTTTTTGTTACTGGAAACACATTGACCGTAACATAGAAGATCTAGCAAAGTCTTGTCGTCCATGCTGTTTGAAGCAGAATCTTCCTGAAAAAGTAGATGTCCATCCTTGGCTGGTTCCATCAGGACCTTGGCAACGAATACACATCAACTTTGCAGGTCCAATTTATGGGCAATACCTTTTTGTTATCGTTGACGCCTATTCAAAGTGGGTTGAAGTCATACCAACCAAAACTACAACATCTAATTGGCGCATTCAACAGCTCAGGAAACTCTTCTCTACCTTTGGTTACCCGTTCACGTTAGTCTCTGACAATGGCCCTAACTTCACATCATCTATTTTCAACCAATTTCTACAAGCTTGTGGCGTCACACACAAATTCTCTGCCCCCTATCACCCTGCAACCAACGGACAAGCAGAGAGATTTGTTCAGACTGTAAAGAAACAGTTAATAGCAATGGAGAATGATGGAGGAGATTTACACTTCAAAATAAATCACATGCTAATGTCACTAAGGAATGCCACAAATGCTACAGGGTCCTCGGCATATGAACTTATGTTTGGGAGACGAATAAGGACAAGGCTGGATCTTATGAAGAGACCCCAAGATCACACAGAAATGCCTGACGGATGTACTAAAATCAAAAGAGAGTTTCGGGTGGGGGACAGGGTTCAGGTGCGCAATTTCGGAAAAGACGGAAAGTGGAAATTTGGAAACATAAGAAGGAGAGAAGGATTGGTGCATTATCAAATCGAGATGGACAATGGACAGGTTTGGAGAAGGCACATTAACCACATTCGGCCGTGTAAATTTGAGGGGGAGGATTAATAAGGAGTTGTCATCAACATATGATTCCTTAACAGACATGGTTTATGTTATTGTTTTTAATGTTTATGTTTATATATTTTTCATTCAGTTAAAATGGTTGAATAAAATGGGTTGTACATTCTCTTGTATCTTGTTATTATATAATTTAAGGACTTGATAGTTAGGTTAGGTTATAACAGTTTAATTTTAAAATACTAAATTTTAAAATTGATTTTATAATTAAAAATTATAAGTAAGTGGTTTCATTTTTATCTTATATATTTTTTATATCATCAGCAAGTTTGGTTGGTTAGGTTAGGTTATGACAGTAATTTAAATTGTTCAACTTAGCGGCGAACGCTGACACTATGTTAGCCATCGTCCCTCCCGTGTGCCCCACCGAATAATTTATTTGGGTACACTTCCATATCTGTTGGGACAAACAACCGAATGAAAATATCGATTGATATATCGATTATTCGATATATCGTTTGGTTAGTTAGGTAAGGTTGACCTAACCTAACCAACCAAACGATATATCAAGTTAAACAATCAAATAATCAATATTACTCATTCGGTTGTTTGTGCCAACAGATATGGAAGTGTACCCATTTATTTTGCAATTAATTAATGCATTGAAATTAATACAAAACAAAAGGTATGGGTGATTTATTTAATACAAAATGTTTTGTTGGTAATTCAAATAAATCCTTGGTCCTCTGTTGTTCGTACTATACATAAACGACTTGAGCTCAGTCCTCACAAACTGTAAATACCACATGTATGCTGATGACTTACAGATTTATACACATTTTTCACCCAAACAGATCAATGAAAGTGTTCAGAGAGTGAATGAAGATATTGAGAAAATCATTACTTGGACTAATAAACACGGACTCAGACTCAATCACGAAAAAACTAAACCTATCATAATTTGTCATCCACGGTTACGGAACTCAATTGACTTTCTCACGACAAATCCAATAAATATAAATGGAACAGCTTTGCTTTACTGTGACAAGGTCAAAAACCTAGGACTTACTATGAACTCGACACTTACTTGGGGCGATGCAGTCTTAGACATCCGTAAAAAGGTGTTTGCATCAATCCACACACTTAAAAAATTACAAAACTTTTTGCCAATGCACATAAAAATACATCTCGTCAAATCACTTGTCTTCCCCCACTTCACTTACTGCAACTCTGTGATCAATGACATGACTGTAAACCTCGCTGATGCTCTCCAACGCGCTCAGAATTACTGCTTGAGATTCATTTATGATCTGAGACGCAGTGAGCGTATCACGCCTTACTACATTAATTCTAAACTATTAAAGCTATGTGACCTTAGATCAATTAAAATCCTTTTGCTAACCTATTCAATAATAAAATCAAATTTTCCAAAATATTTTGTAGATGATTTTAGGTTTGTAGCTGAAGAAAGTGCTAGATTTTCACGCTATGCTTCATTGACTTTGCGTATGCCTCATCATAGGACTGCAGTTTACGACGGGGCGTTTGTTGTGACCGCTTGCCGACTTTGGAATGACCTCCCCTTAGCCATCAAATCCCTTGATAACCGTTCCCGGTTTGTGGCAGCGCTAAAAAATATGTATTTTGAACGTATGGCCATGGTTGGTTTGTCCTAGGGGCTTGTACGCGTGGTTGGTCACTGACAGATGTGCTTGGTGTGTGTGTGTGTGTGTGTGTGAGAGAGAGAGAGAGAGAGAGGGAAAGAGGAAGATTATTTTTGAACAGTTTAAAATGTAAGTTATTTTCTTTTGTTTAAGTTTCTGTATCCATGAGTTAGATTTTGTTTTTGTTGTATATTAATGTAATTGGTAAAATATGTGTGTTATATTTATGACAGGTTAAGTGTAAGAAAGGGCCATGTGGCCCTAACTTTTGCCTGGATAAATAAATAATATTTCATTTCAAATAATGTCACCCGGTGTAGTAAGTCTCTAGAAAACTGTTCCAATAAGCGGCAGGGTGTCAGTAGATACCAAAGTGGATATCATACCGTATTATCCCAGTAGTGTATGGTTTAGAAACTTTGGCACTGACCAAGGAACGGAAAAACTTTATTGCTGGGTTTGAGAAATACAGTGCAGAGAAAATATACGGGCCATTTATGAAAATAGAGATACAAAAGAACAGAGAGCCAAGAGGAATATTTAAAAACCTATATATGCGTGGAGGAGAAAAGAAACGTTAAATTTTAAAAATGTATCCCAATGAGTACCACAATAAGACGACCACTTGGAGGACCAAGCAATGAAAGGATTCTCCAGGCTAGGATCAACATTAGGAAAGGCAAGGGACAGAAGAGAATGGGAGGCCTCTTAAGGTTTCAGTGGCCACTTAGGTAAAATAAGGTACGGTAAGTGATAATATGTAATTAAAAGTGGTATGTAGCTGCTGTGCTTGAAACCAGTGTGTGTGTGAATCGACCACCAATCTCACTTCCAAGGTTTTTAAAATTTACACAATTGCTGTTTAGTTGTAAAATTGTCGGATTTAAAATGCATACCTATCATATTTATAGGCCTATAATCGGATGAATGAAATAGAGATGGTCACGTAGTATTAGTTTACAAGATAATTTTCCATACTCAAACCACCAGAATTTTTCTTTATAAGTATAAACTAGCTGTTCTGAATTATATTTATTCATATTTAATCGACTACTTGATTCCCGTACGTAGGACGGGCCAACAGCTAGTCTAAATTATTAAAAGAATTGGATTTTTGTGTGCCCCAAATCGACCACTAAATATTTATTTTTATGGGTATATTGGGTATCAATTTAAAGCTCTTATCCTCTAGATATGCCTTTTAGCGAATTTCCCATATAGGGAATAAGCTATTACCGTAGTACTCATGGTAAGACCTGGACGCGGGACCGATTTTTTTTTTCGTTTTGAGGTCCCTAGAGGCCAAAAACACCATTCATTCAAATTCATATATATATATATTTATATATTTATATATATATATATATATATACTAGCTGACCCGGCGAACTTCGTATCGCCTAAGTTATAGGTTTCCCCTAAGACAGACCGATGGAAAGAAAGTACCGTTACGTTTAATTTTCAAGATGATCTCGTTCGCATCGCTCAATCACGTCCTGGTTGAAGTTCGTTCGCTACAATCACTCACCTTTGGGTTGGAGCTCGTTCGCTACGCTCACTCACCTTTAGGTTGGAGCTCGTTCGCTGCGCTCACTTGCCTTCAGGTTAGCTCGTTCGCTACGCTAACTCGCCTCCAGGTTGAAGATCGTTCGCTACGCTCACTCACCTTTGGGTTGGAGCTCGTTCGCTACGCTCACTCACCTTTAGGTTGCAGCTCGTTCGCTGCGCTCACTTGCCTTCAGGTTAGCTCGTTCGCTACGGTCACTCGCCTCCAGGTTGAAGTTCGTTCGCTACGCTCACTCACCTTTTGGTTGCAAATTAGCTGTTGTCATAAATGTAAAAGAAATAATAGTGCTGCACCCTGTTGGTAATCCTTGTAACTTTAATGCTATTAAACATCATAGAACAGAACCAACTTGTTTAATTGAAACAGCTGTTAAGATTCATTAATTCCATTTCTCATAAGGTTAACATGGGAAACTCCAGAGCCACTGGGGCGGAGCCCTTTTAAGAATTTCGAAACGGGAAATAGTTTACGTCCGGTTCGCATACCTACAGAATTTACACACCAAATTTCATAACGATCGGTGAAGTCGTTCCGGAGGAGTTTGCAGACAAACACTGTGACACGAGAATTTTATATATTAGATATGTGTCCGTTAGCACGATAACTCAAGCAAAAATGATCCGATTTTGATGAAATTTGGTACAAACGTGTAAACCTACGTTTATTCGAACGAGTTCGCGATCCAGCATGATCGGATCATGGGAACGGGGGTTTATGGGGGGTTTTATGGGGTAAAAATAGGTTTTTCCCATTTTTGACCCAAAAAACATAAAATTTGGCAATTTTTTTCCAAACCATTTTGTAGAGCTTAAAAAACAAATAATTTAGTATATTGAAGCGTTATTATGCGCCTAATGGTTACGGAGAAAATTCCAAACAATTGTAAATTTAAAATTCCCATGTTATTCTTATGGAGAATAAGTAAACTGTTGTAGTTTGCTTGTTTATGAACATATTTTGATCAAATTTGGAAAACGTTTTTATTTCTTACTAACTATTAACATTTTACAAAAAAAAAACAGTTTTACCCTCCCTGATGCAGCAAACCTAAGTACTTGTTAAACTAATTCTATTTAAATCAGTGTACATCCAATCAGTCAAATGGAAATTCGCTTAGTCTGCAGGTTTGCTGCGGCGGGGGTATTTTTAGATCTCGTGAAAACCCTTTGTCCTACAGGCTTTTAAAATTTCAGAGTTTGTGCATAATTCTGTTGTCAATCATCTGAACTGTTTCAAGCTTACATTTGTTTACATGAAAACAGATGGCCATGATCGAATTTTGTTTACATCCATAGGGATATGGGGTTATCTGTAGTGGCCATGATAGAATTTTGTTTACATCCATAGGGATATTAGTCCAGGCGCTAAACGGGTTGAGTATGCATTGAAAGTCTGACAAAATTTGACTTTTGATTATTGTTGGGGACATCTAGTAGATGAAAAAAATCGATGATGTCGCATTTCTAGGGTGGTCACAACTCGGGGGGGAGGGGGGGAAGTTGTGCGGGTCATCGGTTTACGTTTCCGCGTCTAACTCACAAACGGTTAATGATAGAAAGGTGAATTAAGCGTCTATCTACGCCTAAATATATTGTCTTTTAAAAAGGTTATAACAACCTTTCTTCTATCTCTCATACTTTAGGCGCTAATCAACATTTATTGCAAAAAAAAAATTTAAAAATACTTTAAAATGAAATATCGGAAATATTGCGCTGGTTTAGGGCATGTTACAAACTATTTATGATTAGAAAAACTAACAAGTAGTACAACAGCACCAAGTTTAAAGAAATCTGTGCAAAAACAACAGAGCTTCGTTG